GTTAGCATAAAGACTGGAATCAGGGGAACAGTTAGCTTAGGTTAGCATAAAGACTGGAATCAGGGGAACAGTTAGCTTACGTTAGCATAAAGACTGGAATCAGGGGAACAGTTAGCTTACGTTAGCATAAAGACTGGAATCAGGGGAACTGTTAGCTTAGACACTCGTCTCTGATCATTATCAGTTTGGGACCAGGACCAGGACCAGGACACCTGACTTAATGCTTCACTTTTTGTTCTTTATTGTGTTGTTGGTTTGTGTTTGTTTTTGTGTGTTAGTGGGTTTTGTGCATCTGACTGTTGTGTGACTGTTCTTATTCATCTTATTATTTCTATTTTATTTTATCATCACTGTTATTTATGATTTTATTCAGTATAAATGTTGGAAACCTGTCGAAGATTCTCCTCAAATAAAAGTCTGAAACTGATCAAATAAAAAAATCTTTATCATAAAACCAAACACACAAACATTCTGTTCAGATATTTATTGATCTGATGTCTGATATTTCCTTTCACATGTGATTCTGAACTTTAACGCTCAATTATACAAACTGCAGAGGTCAAAGGTCACAGACACACAGAGTCAATGACCTCCACTCTATTTACAGACTCTGAATCAGCCAATCAGAGGAAAGCACTCCCTCACTGTTTGACTCTCTGCTCATTCTCTTGGTCTTCTTCTGCTTCTTGAGTCTGGAGAGTCTGGACGATGCACACCAAAGGAAACTCCTGGTAAGACCCCCCCTCCTTTATTTTTCATTTTGCTGTTTGTGTGTAGGACTGAGCTCAAAGTCTTAATGTTTCTCTCAACAACAATCTGTGATATTTCACCTCAGCAGCCTCATGTTCTTCATGTTTTCATTCCTCATGTGTTCATTTCCTCACTTCAACTTTCTGTTGATGGGTCCAGACCTCAGTGAACAACCTTTACTCACTGCTGTGGTTTCATCCAAATACATACATGAACCTGCACATGGACAGAACTCAGAGAACAGAACAGGAGAAAACAACTCGTGTCTGATACAGTTTTCCTCGTTCCACTGTCAGCACACGCTGAACTGTCTGATAACCACCACACTGATGTAACGATGAGAGCAGCTTTAATCTGTGGAGCAGTAAAGTTCAGATCTTTGAACCTGAGCTCCTGGAAACTGTAAACTTCAGTAAAATCTGATCTTAGGTCAGTTTATGTTTTTACCTGTGAAGATAAAAACCTGCAACAGCAGCAGCAGCTTCTGTTAATCATCTTCACACAGACCTGCTTCACTTCAGACACAGATCAGAAACCCTGACACAACATTCAACACTCAGTCCATCCACTATGACGCAAACCTAAACCAGATCCTGACCCCGTCTCGATGGTGGATTATTCCTGTCCACAGTTCTCTTTGTGAAGCAGGACTCTGTTGGAGCCTCACGTCACGTCACGCTATTATTTAGTTCAGTTTAATACATAGAAGAGTCTGAACCTGAACCTCATTTTACTCTGCGACACTGATCCATCCTGATTGATTAGGTATTCCCAACATCATTTCAAATATATACAGTGTATATATGTGTGTGTGTGTTGGTGTGTGTACATCTTACTTTTGGAAACAGGTTGACATGTCGTCACTGCGCTGACAGATTTAAAGTTTTTATGACTCATAAACAACAAAACTTTTGACTTGTATTAACCCCCCCCCAGCTGCTGCTCCTTCGAGGACTACAAACTGACCACTGAATGGCTCCTGAACCAGACGAGTCACCGTCCAAAGGTGGCAGTGATCTGCGGTTCAGGACTCGGTCTCCTCGCTGACGGAGCTGCCAACAAACAAATCTTCAGATACCAGGACATCCCCAACTTCCCTGTCAGCACAGGTGAGGTGTAACATCCAATCAGACTCTCACAAACTGAAACGACTCTGCTCTTAATGATGCTGTCTAACGTACTGTCTGTGTCTCAGTCCAGGGACATGAGGGCTGCCTGGTGTTTGGAACCATCGAGGACACTCCCTGTGTCTTCATGCAGGGTCACTTCCACCTGTACGAAGGTTACTCCCTTTGCCAGGTGAGTCTTCATCACCGACCATGTCCACATGTTTAAGTTCAGGTGAGACCTGACCTGAGGCTCTGGATTCAGCGGTGGATCTGTTTACCGGGCCTCAGTTCTGGTCCTGGTCTCTGGCTCTGGTCTCTGGTCTCTGGGTGTGACTGAAAGAACAAGATGGTGGATCCAAGCAGCTGAAATGCGTTTCCTTGGCAGGAGGATGTACCTATTTGTTCACCTGTCTGTCTCTGTACCTGTCTCAGGTGACCTTCCCTGTGAGGATCTTTAAGCTGATGGGGGTGGAGACTGTGCTGGTGACGAATGCCTCAGGAGGAATCTGTCCAGACTTTAAGGTCGGTGACATCATGATTATCAAGGACCACATCAACCTACCGGGATTCGCCGGACAACACCCGCTGTGTGGACCCAATGACGAGCGGTGAGACGGGAGAACAGAGAGAGACAGACAGGAGGGCAGACAGACAGGGAGAGAGACAGACAGGGAAAGTTTTAAAAGTAATGTATGTAATGTAAATATGAATCTCTTCCTGTCTCCCTGTCTTTCTCTCTCTCCCTGTCTGTCTCTCTTCCTGTCCTCCTTTAGATTTGGGATCCGGTTCCCCTGTATGTCCGATGCGTACAGTAAGGATCTGAGGCGTGTGGCGTTGGACATTGGCTCAGAGCTCGGATGCAGTGACTTCATCAGAGAGGGAGTTTACTGCATGGTGAGTGGACCCAACTTCGAGACCATCGCTGAGGCCAGGATGCTGCTGATCCTGGGCTGCGACTCTGTGGGTAAGACAGGCAGACACGGACAGACACTCTGTCCTCACTAATTGGTCATTTAGAGGGGAAACCATCCCGCTGGGCTCATTAATAATTGACGAGTCTTAATGAGTCTTATAGGTGAGTCAGCAGGTAGGGGGTGGTGATTGGCTCTCGGTGTGAGGATTGTTGGACCGTGCGTCTGACCACAGTTCAGATCCAAACAGAGTTTTTCAGACTCACCAAGGCCTCAGAGGTTTCAGTGGGTCCTTTGGACAGTTCTAGATGTTATTAAGAGGATACTTAAGGATCGTCTGGGAGTCCTGGAAAAGGTTCTGAAGTTCATGATGAGGTTCTAAGGTTTCTGGAGTGGATTCTATGGATGTCTGAGACCCATGATCAATGGTCTTTGTTAGGTTTCTAGTGGTCCTGGAGAAACGTAAAGGGTCCAGTGATAAGGATTAAGGGGTTCTTTGTGAGGTTCTAGGGGTCCTTAAGAAGGGTCTAGAATCTTTAAGATTCTAGGTTTTTGGGATTCATTGGGGAGTATCTAGCAGTCCTTGTGATAGTTTAAGTTTCCATAAGAAGGACCTAGCAGTTCTTGAGAAGGTTCTATGGTTCCTTCAAAAGGGCCTATGTTGCCTTCAGAATGGCCTAAGGTCTTGAAGAAGAACGTGCGACCTTTAAAGGGATCTAGATTCCTTGAGGACAATCTATTTCTTTTAGAATATTCTAGATTCCCCTAGGATTAGGTTTTTGATGAGGTTGTAGGACAACTTTAGGAAGTTCTAGGTCCTTTGAAAGGGTTCCAAGGGTTTTGAGAAGGGTTCTATGGTTTCTGGACAAGGTTTCATGGTTCCTCGAGGAGGATCTAGAAGGTCTCTGATGTTTCAGGGTTATTGAGCCAGAATGAGGAGGAGCTAGGGGTTCTTGATACGTGTCCTAGGTTTTCCAGAGTGGTAAGGTGGTGATAAGGATCTTGGGGGTCTTTACGTTCAAGTCCATGGAAAGGTTTCAAATGGTCCTTTTGGAGCTTCTTGGAGGAAGCTGTACACTCACTGAGGAGGTTTTATGGGTCAGGGAATCCTAGAGAGTTTCTCTGGGCCTCAACTCAACCAGACCCACCATGAACCCGGTTCTGTTCAAGGTTTCTACCTGTAAAAAGGGAATTTTTTCTTGTCACTGTCACCAAGTGCGGCTCATGGGGGAATGTTGGTCTATATGAAACATACCCCTTCTGTTGTGCATTATATAAATAAAATTTACTTGATTTGGCCTTAGGTGTCCTTCAAGAGGTTTACGTGGTCTTGGATAGGGTTCTGTGGGTCAGTAGATCTAGTGCTCTTGTTTTTCAGTATCAGCTGATTGTGACTCTTTATTTAATAAAAGCAACAGAATGAACCGTCGATCAGTCGGTGTCAGAACCAGATCGAAGGACGAACACGAGGCCAGTTTGTTTCAGCAGGTTCTCATTAAATATGCCAGCTGATTAAATAATCATGAGACAAAGTGGAACCCTGCAGCTCAACAAACTGTTAAATACAATCAGGATGGTTAATGAAGTCACATGACTCATTTCCTGGTGTGTTTACACTGATGTTAAATACCAGCAACATTCAGTTCTCACCTCCTGTCGACACCAGTTTACACAACTGCTTTGATCAGGTGGTGATTAAATTCATAAGAGATGTGAACAAGAAGTTCAGACTGTTAAAGTCAAAGTTATATTAAGATATAAAGTATATAAAGTTCATTCTCATTATCCTCCTCTTCCTGTCTTGTCTTCAGGTATGAGCACTGTTCCTGAGGTGACCGTGGCCAAACATTGTGGACTCAGAGTTATTGGTTTGTCCCTCATCACCAACAAGGTCAGTTTTTAAAACAGCAACAACATCTGATTTGACAGCTGTGACAAAACCACATGATGAAGTACAATAACAACAAAACATAATAACCTATAAATGCCGACGACAGCTGTGTGACAGAGTGACAGCAGTGATGTGGTTGTGTAACGGTGTGACTCACCTATTTGGTGCTGCAGGTGTCTCTGGACTACAGTCGGGAGGAGAAGGTGAACCATGACGAGGTTCTTGAGATCAGTAAAATGAGGGCGGAGGTTCTGCAGAAACTTGTCACCACCCTGATCAGTCGCTGCCAGCAGCAAAGCATCAACACCCACTGACAGAACAACACCAGAGTCAACCCCGGCACCACTGTTGACGACTACACCACAGTCCAGCCTCGAGGTGTCAGTGAGCCACTGGTTTGCAGTGAAATGAGTCTGTAACTGTGTTGTGTGTTTCTGCTGCTGATGTTTTCCAGCTGTTCACAATAAAACTCTGTAAAGACTCAGATTAAGCCTCTGGCCTGTCTCTTCAGTCTACACATAAACACCTGAACCTGTTCTCTTGTTTTTAGACAGGTTTCCTGACATATCTGGGATCTGCTCAAACACGGCATCTGTCATTTTCTGCTACACACTCGATCACAACGACTAAAATCCTTCATCTTCAATCATTCAGTTAAAAACCACGGAGGTGTAAAAAGTGTGTTTTCAAAATGTGACTTAAAACTGGATAAAAGTCAATGTTCAGCTTCTGTCAGACACATGATCATAGAGGATATGATGTCATTGACAGGCGACCAATTAAACGTTACCATGATGAAAATCAGTAAGAACACAACTCAACAACATATAGATCAGAGGTCCAGTTGTTTTTAATGTGGAAGAGTTTCGTATTAAACCTTTAAAGTGATGGTTCTCAGCTGCTGCTGTTCTCTCTTCACGTCTATCTGTTGTTTCATGATGATGATTGACAGGTCAACAAGACCTCTGATTGGCTACCTGCTCCACTTCAACACCAGGTGCTGAGGGCTCAGAGCCAACTTTCTGTTTATGTTCTGCAGGTGTGATTGACAGCAGATGGAGAGAAGAAGAAAAAACATTGTGTGATAGACAAACATCAGGAAGGAAGGAGAAGGTGGGGAAGGAGAAGCGGAGGTGAAGAGGAGGTGGAGAATCTCGAGCCGGCCATTTATTTTAGAAGCTGAAATCTCCTCTACCTGTTGGTGACAGGTAAAATTAAACTCATATGATTAAACTGACTGTAGACAGGACAAGCACTTTGAGACCAGTCAACACCAAAACCTCTGAGCACACACACACACACACACACACACACAGACAGGACAGCTGTCACCTGCTGTGTGTCCTCATGCTGAGTTTCTCTGCAGCAGCAGTCGGTGTGATGAACCTGCTGAGAGACGAGCTTCTTATTCCCCGACCGACCGAGGAGAGAGTCAGACTGCAGACCCCGAGGAGACGGCCACAGCTCCCAGTCACAGCTCCCAGTCACAGCTCCCAGTCACAGCTTCCAGTCACAGCTCCCAGTAAAAGCTCCCAGTATGGCAAGTTCCCTCCTGCGGTCAGTGGAGATCTCTGCTTCCCAGTTTCTGGATATTTTTCATCACTACGACAACGACGGTAAACCTGCTCAGTCACCTGATGACCTCACCTGTTACCCGTTGTCTGATCTCAGGTAGATCTGATGCTGCTCTCTGTTCTTTCAGGAAACGGTTTCATTGAAGGAAAAGAGCTGCAGAGTTTCATCCAAGAGCTGAGAGAGGCTCGACAGCAGGCGGGGCTGGTGAGTTCATACACACCTGTTCATCTGTTCATCTGTTCACTTGTTCACATTTTCCTGCTGTGACAGATTGGGTGAGGATAATAAGAATAATAATTAAAATAATTTTTTTGTTCTCCACATCAGAAACTCAGATGATGTCAAGTGAAAACGAAAGCAGCAAAATGACCCGTCTTTATTAATTAACCATTTAATTCACTGAGCAGCTCAGAGGCCACCGACAGCTACCGCCATCTTTTAAGGTGGAATGTTTTCTTCGGTGTTACTTGATGTGTGATTGACATTTGGAAATCAATAATACACCTTAAATGTCAATATGACTTTGACCATTAGTGTTTATCAGCTCTATTCATGACAGACTCTTTAGTGATGATCGGATCTTCAGCTTCTTCAAATGTAGATAAACATCAACGTGATCATGTGACTGTAGATATTTTATTTCATCAGGAGAATAAAAGTAGTTGAGCGTCGTTCCTGGAGGCTACGGCAGCTCTACACCTGTGGTTCCTCCACAGGTTGAATGTCTTCACACGGTCTTTAACAGTGATGTTTGTTGGGAAATGTGAAACATTCATATCGCACACGTCGCAGCTTCACAACGAGTGAGTTTGGTAACATCATAAAGGTTTTGATCAGGGACTGGTGTGATTGGTTCAACTTGAGGGTAACTGATAATTTTTGATCAAATTTTTGAAAAGGTTCGCGATGATTGGACAAAAAATTGCACTGATAATTGCAATTATGACATGGCGACTATCTGGAGGGACTGATTAATGAAAACATTGAGGTGTGTTAATTTCATGTGTGCAGCTGATTGAACCTGTGGATTATTGATTATATTCCGTGACTGAATGAACAGGTTGATGGAAGATGAAACACATTGTTGTTTCAGGATCTGACTGATGAGATGAAACAGTTAGTGAGTGAATATGAGAAGAACTCCGAGCAGAGGATCGACCTGGTTCAGGTGAGTAAATAAAGCTTCAGTATTCAGACATTAATCTAACACTGCAACACTCAGAATTTTGAGTTTTACTTCATACTGCAGTATTAGTACTTTTAAAAGACCTGAGTACTTCAGCTGCAGTGGAACCCAGTTCACATGAAGTGTTTCCTCCAGCTGGTCCAGGTTTTACCCACCGAGGAAAACTTCCTGTTGTTCTTCAGACAGCAGCTCAGCTCCTGTTCACACTTCATCCAGGTACAACACCTGCCCACATGTCCACGTGCTTCATTGTAATGATTACAGTATAATTAACTGCTTGTTTCCTGCCCGTTTCCTGCCAATTTCCTGCCTGTTTCCTGCCCGTTTCCTGCCTGTTTCCTGCCTGTTTCCTGCCCGTATCCTGCCTGTTTCCTGCCTGTTTCCTGCCCGTTTCCTGCCTGTTTCCTGCCCATTTCCTGCCCGTGTCCTGCCCGTGTCCTGCCTGTTTCCTGCCTGTTTCCTGCCCGTTTCCTGCCTTGTCTCTCCAGGTGTGGAGACGTTATGATGCTGATCACAGTGGATACATCGAGGCTGATGAGCTGAAGGTGATTTTTTTGGACTTACTGATCAGTTTAACCTGTACCAGGCTGTTAGCTGTGGTAAAGCAGATCGCAAACAAATTAATAAGCTATGCTAACACAATGCTATGCTACCATGGTGCTATGCTAACTGTCCTGTAGAACTTCCTGAAGGATCTGCTGCTGAAAGCTAAGCGAACATGTGACAACAAGAAACTCGATGAGTACACGGCTGCAACTGTAAGTACAGCAGTAGTACTGTGCTAGTACTGCAATAATACTGCCATTATATTGTAGTAATACTGACATTGTACTGTAGAAAAACAGTCATTTTACTGTAGTAATACTTTAGTAATACTGTAGTAAGACTGACATTATACCGTAGTAATACTGTCGTTCTACTGTAATACTACTGTGGCAATACTATGGTAATGTGAGATTACACTGTAGTAATACTGTGATTATACCGTAGTATTACTGTAGTAATATTGTGATTGTACTGTAGTATTACTGTACTACTATTGTAGTAATGGTGTAGTAGTACTGTAGTAATACTGAGATTATACTGTAGTAATACTGTCATTATACTTAAGTACTATTGTAGAAAAACTGTTTTCTTTTTTCTTTTTCAGTTAAAGATTTTTGATTCAAATTCAGATGGAAAACTCTGCTTAGCAGAAATGTCCAGGTGAGTCTGAACTGGTCTGAAATGGTGTGAACTGGTTGGTACCACTTTCAGCTCGACTATACTGGTTTGTACTGGTGTGTTGTTTCAGGTTGCTGCCTCGTGAGCACAACTTCCTGATCAAGTTTGAGGTGAGTCTGAAAGATCTGATGTCAGTGTAGAAGAAACATTGATGTGTGTTTTGCTGTATGACTAAATACATTGAGTCAAAGCTTGACAGATAATAAATCACCAAAACCCCCAAAACTTTTTAACTTTTTTAAGTTTTTATGCCTTACTATATTATGATGTTTTTATGACGTTTTATGCATTATTATACTATGATGTTTTTATGCTGCACTATACAATGATGTCTTTGACATTTTTATGCCTTATCATGCTATGACACATTTTATGCCTTATTGTACTATGACGTTTTTTGATGTTTGCATGTCTTAATAAACGAAGACTTTTTTATGATATTTTATGATGTTTTTTTGACATTTCTATGCCTTACTATAATATGACGTTTATTGAAAATTTTATGCCTTATTATACTACGACGTTTTTTGACGTTCTTATGCCTTACTATAGTATGACGATTTTGACGTTTTAATGCCTTACTACAATATGACATTTTTTGACCTTTTCATGCCTTACTATACTATGACATTTATTGAAATTTTTATGCCTTATTATACAATGATGTTTTTTAATGTTCTTATGCCTTACAATACAATGAAGTTTTTATGACATTTTATGCCTTACTATACTATGACATTTATTGACATTTTTATACCTTATTATAATATGAGAGTATGACGTTTTTTTTCATTTTTATGCCATACTATACTATGACGTTTTTATCATTTTTATGCCATACTATACTATTTTTTTTCTTCATTTTTATGCCTTACTATACTATGACGTTTTTTTTCATTTTTATGCCATACTATACTATGATGTTTTTTTTTCATTTTTATGCCTTACTATACTATGACGTTTATTGACATTTTTATGCCTTACTATACTATGACATTTATTGACATTTTTATACCTTATTATAATGAGAGTATGACGTTTTTTTTCATTTTTATGCCATACTATACTATGACATTTTTTTCATTTTCTATGCCATACTATACTATGACGTCTTTTTCATTTTTATGCCATACTATACTATGACGTTTTTGTTCATTTTTATGCCATACTATACCATGATGTTTTTTTTTCATTTTCTATGCCATACTATACTATGACGTCTTTTTCATTTTTATGCCATCCTATACTATGACGTTTTTTGACGTTTTATGCCATACTAAACTATCACATTTTTTCATTTTCTATGCCTCACTATGACGTTTTTTGACGTTTTATGCCATACTAAACTATCACATTTTTTCATTTTCTATGCCTCACTATGACGTTTTTTGACGTTTTATGCCATACTAAACTATCACATTTTTTCATTTTCTATGCCTCACTATGACGTTTTTTGACGTTTTATGCCATACTAAACTATCACATTTTTTCATTTTCTATGCCTCACTATGACGTTTTTTGACGTTTTATGCCATACTATACTACGACGTTTTTTTTCATTTTTATGCCATACTAAACTATGACATTTTTTAAAAATTTTTATGCCATACTATACTATCACATTTTTTTTAAATTTTTATGCCATACTATACTATCACATTTTTTCATTTTCTATGCCTCACTATGACGTTTTTTTCATTTTTATGCCTTTCTAAACTATGACATTTTTTTCAATTTTTTATGCCATACTATACTATGACGTTTTTTCATTTATATGCCATACTATACTATGACGTATTTTTCATTTTTATGCCATACTATACGATGACGTCTTTTTCATTTTTATGCCTTACTATACTATGACGTTTTTTTTTATTTTTATGCCATACTATACTATGACATTTTTTTCATTTTCTATGCCATACTATACTATGACGTATTTTTCATTTTTATGCCATACTATACGATGACGTCTTTTTCATTTTTATGCCTTACTATACTATGACGTTTTTTTTTATTTTTATGCCATACTATACTATGACATTTTTTTCATTTTCTATGCCGTACTATACTATGACATTTTTTTTTCATTTTAATGCCATACTATACTATGACCTATTTTCATTTTTATGTCATACTATGCTATGACGTTTTTTTTTTATTTTTATGCCATACTATCCAAGACATTTTTTTTCATTTTTATGCCTTTCTAAACTATGACATTTTTTTCAATTTTTTATGCCATACTATACTATGACGTTTTTTCATTTATATGCCATACTATACTATCACGTCTTTTTCATTTTTATGCCATGCTATACTATGACGTCTTTTTCATTTTTATGCCTTACTATACTATGACGTTTTTTTTTATTTTTATGCCATACTATCCAAGACATTTTTTTTCATTTTTATGCCATACTATACTATGACGTTTTTTTTCAGTTTTATGCCATACTATACTATGGCGTCTTTTTCATTTTTATGCCTTACTACACTGTGACGTTTTTTTTCAGTTTTATGCCATACTATACTATGACGTTTTTTTACATTTTTATGCCATACTATACTATGACGTTTTTTTACATTTTTATACCTTACTATACTATGACGTTTTTTTCATTTTTATGCCTTACTAAACTATGACATTTTTTTCAATTTTTTATGCCATACTATACTATGATGTCTTTTTCAATTTTATGCCTTACTATACTATGACGTATTTTTCATTTTTATGCCTTACTATACTTTGACGTTTTTTTCATTTTTATTCCATACTATACTATGACTTTTTTTGCATTACAATATTATGCAATTTTATGCTTTATTATACTATGACGTTTTTTTTTTTTTTTTAAAGTATATTTTTTTGGGCTTTTATGCCTTTAATGGACAGCACAGTGGAGAGTGACAGGAAACGGGGAGGCAGAGAGAGGGGGAATGACATGCAGTGAAAGGCCGTCCGATGCGGGATTCGAACCGGGGCCGACTGCAGCGAGGACTGTAGCCTCTACACATGGGGCGCCTGCTTAAACCACTACGCTACACGACGCCCCTACTATGACGTTTTTTGATGTTTTCATGATAATTTATACAATAGTAAACTATGACTTTTTCTTTCTTTTTTTTTTAAAACACTCTCTATTACTTTTTCAAACAGCCAGTACATAACTATGGCAGTGGATAAGCACAGGACAAATACAAATAAAAAGGAGAAGAGAAAAAGAAAAAAAAAGAACACACATATGTATACATGTACCATACATACAGAGATACATACTATACAAAAAAATGACATCACTAAGTAACGAACAAAGGTTTCTCATATAACTTGTAATTACCAGTGTCCTAGTTCATCCCTCCCCGGTCATCATAAAGCGAGGTGTGCCAGACCTTCATTCTACTCCCGATAGATGAGCCCATCAATCATCTTCAATTTCACTACTATGATGTTTTTATGATTAAGTATCATCATAGTCATAAAAATTTCATGGTATAATAAGTTTCTGTCTCTTTCTGTCTGTCTCTCAGGGCCTAAAGATGTCCAAACTTCAGTTCAACAAGATTTTCGATCTCTATGATCAGGTCAGTTTCTTTTTCATCTTGTATTAACATACGCACTGCAGATCTGAGGACTGAGCTGACCTTTGACCTTTGTCGTGTGTGTGTTTGTGTGTGTCTCAGGATGGCAGTGGCTTCATGGATGAATTAAAGCTGGACTCTCTGCTTAATGATCTGTGTGAAAAAAACAATAAGGTCTGAACACACACACTCAAACACACAGTAACACATCATGAATTCAGTGTACAGGTGTGCTCAGTGGAGATGTGTGTGTTTCTCCTGCAGGTGGTGGACTCCGCAGATCTCCATCGTTACCGCTCGTCCATCATAGAGTTATCAGATGGAGGGAAATTGTACCGCACTGATCTCTGTCTGCTGCTCTGCCATGACGACTGAAACGCTGCAGGGAAACACCTACATCACCTGGCTCCTCTGACACACCTAATGTAATGCCTCACAGGTCATGTCCCCTGCTCCACCCACCAGGCTTCAGTTTTAGCTCCAGTGGTGTTATGTCTTTCCTCTTACGACCTTTAACCCACCTGTGTAGTGTGAAGTATTTGACTGGTACCATGTTAACATCACAGATATGTCACTGCTTTAACATCTGTTGTCTTTAATGAAGAACGTATAAATAAAATGTAAAACCATCAGTGTGGAAATTACTTTAACATGTGAAATGACCATAGGAAACCTTCTAACGACGGTGTTACAGACTGTCAGTGTGAGGGTAAATGTCGTGTGTATGTGTCGCATCTGTGTTCATGTTGAAATAAACTCAGACGTCTGATGATTTAACTTCTCTGTTTTATTATCAAACAGCCACAAACATGTTTGTGTTTACACTGAGCATGTGCAGACAGTAACATGACTTGCCCATCAGCTACAGGCAAACAGGCTAACAGTGTGTTGGTGAGGTAGCTGATCAGATGATCGATCAATTTTCTTGTAAAATATCAAAACTTTCCACTCAGAAGTCAGTTGGTCTCACCAAGATGACATCAGCAGTGGGTCACACAGTCTCTGTGGTAACATCACAGTTATCTGATTAGTTGCTGTGGTTTAGTGAGTGTTTTTAGGATCCTTTAGTGCTTCTGATCATCGCCTCCATCATCTTCCACTGATCTGAAGTCACCTGAGACACAAACACAAAGGTGGTTTTATTTCTGTAACATTTTTGAAGTTATTTTACCTTATCATACTATGACACATTTTATGCCTTACTATACTATCACGTTTATTGACATTTTTATACCTTACTATACGATGACATTTTATGCCTTAATATATATTGATGTTTATTGGCATTTTTATGCCTTATTACACTGTGACATTTTTATGCCTAACTATAATATGACTTTTAATTACATTTTTATGCCTTATTATGTTATGACATTTTTATGACATTCTATGCCTTAGTACATTATGACATTTATTGACATTTTTATGCAATACTATACTATGGCGTTTTTTTTCATTTTTTTTGCCATACAATACTATGACTTTTTTTTTTAAATGTTTTTATGCCTTACTATAATATGAATTTTTTTGCCTTACTATACTATGACTTTTTTTTCATTTTTATTCTATACTATGACTTTTTAAAAAATATATTTTTATGCCTTACTATACTATGACGTTTTTTTCATTTTTATGCCACACTATACTATGATGTTTTTTTTTCGTTTTTATGCCTTACTATAGTATGATGTTTTTTTAATTTTTATGCCATACTATACTATGACATTTTTTTTCATTTTTATGCCATACTATACTATGACTTTTTTTTCATTTTTATGCCATATTATACTATGACTTTTTTTGCCTTACTATACTATGACGTTTTTTTTATTTTTATGCCATACTATACTATGACGTTTTTTTCATTTTTATGCCATACT